GGCCCTGGGCAGAAGGCCTGTGCTGTGTGGAAGCTCAGAGCTGCCCGTGAGGGGTAGGGGTGCCCTCGGACAACCGAGAGAACACCGGCACCAGACCCTCTCTGACCTGGCCTTGAAACCTTCCCAGCGTCACAGATGAGTAACTCCCACCAGGCTGACTCCAGGGGCGAATGGATCAATAGGCGAGCAGCGAGAACGCTGCGGACATAGAGTTGCTTTGCAAAGTTTTCCTATGATTAGCACGTGGGTGTTGGGGGTTAGTCAAACCCTGTTGTACCTGAATACTTGAAGGGTACACAATCCCTGCGCACATTCGGGGTGCCCCGGTTTGGCTGGAACACCTCATGCACATAAATACCCATTTACCCGTGTAGTTCTAGCCTTTGCATCCCAGCCCCTCTCCTCAGTCGGCACGGGCCACTTGCAGATTTTCATAACACAGTACATGGCACGCACCACTGCCAAGAAGGCATTTTCCATACTGTTACACCCCTCCCCAGTATGCTCTTACCACCTCAGCAGGAGACGTGCATCCTAACTTTGTGCTGAAGTCCAAGAAGAGCAGAACTGCACATAACACTCCTGCCTGTATTTTACAGGCTCATTTTCAGACCATCAAACACTGCATTCCTTCCTCCTAATGCCCTGGGCAGGAGATGTTCCTGCTCACTTTAACTGAATCGCCTCTGCTTTGTTCATAAATGCAGAGCACTTGTTTGGAGGCCTTGTGACTTAATAGCTGGGTGTTTTTTGGAGGGAGCTTGTTCTACTATGTGAAATTGGGCTAAAAATTAAACTTTTTTCTCCAGTTATTAAGGAACTGACAGCTTTATTCAACACACAAGGACTCCTCTGGCATTTGTTCCGGCATTACCAAACCGCTTCCAATTTACACAGGCCTGGCTTTGCTGTTGAAAACCGCCTGTTACGGTGCAGGGCAGTGGATGGGCTCCAACACGGCACTTCCAGGGAGCACAGCCAAGCAATAAGGACCTTTACGAGACACATTTCAACCTGTGCTGAAGTTGGACCACAAATTATTTTGCTCCCACTCTTAATCAAGACCAAAAAAGGAAAAGAAGTTTTCCTTCATGTGAATCAGCCCAAGCAATTAAGCTCTCCAGTTCTCAGAAAGCAACTGGTCATGTATTTAAATACATATTTGTGCCTTTTACAGCTTTTTTCCTTTTTCTTCTTTAAGATTAGTATCTCTAACTGAAAAGTTGCTTCATGCACGGTTAAAAACCATTTGCTTTCTTAAGGACAAGCAGAGCCAAGTGGAACACCTGGTAATTTCAAACCTTTTCCTTATCTGCCAGGATGCTTTGCTTTGGGCAATGTCCAAACACACCTCTCCCACCACCAGCTGCAGGTTTTTTTCCCCCCTAAATCAGCCAACAGCATCAAGCCAGTCTTAGCGTGTGCTGCCTGCATCCACAGCAGTCATGATTGGTCCCTGGGGACAACACTTGCATTTCCCAGCCCCCTCCGCGCCAGATTCCAGAGAGTGGGAAAAGGACGCAAATCCCCGCTGAGGGTGGCATTGGTGGGAGGCTACATACGCCACTGCCAGCCCACACTCACTGCCTACATGTTGCCTCTTGAGCCTACTGACGTCCCTCATGGCCACAGCAGACCCATAATAGTGTGATCCAGGCTGCCATGGAGCCGTAAACACAATCCCATAAATTGTGCTTCTCAGGGAAGCCAACTGTCCTACTCCCTCCTGCACTGACATCTCATGGTCAAGAGTCTGCTGGTTCAAGGGTGTTTGTGTGTCTGAAAAGCTGTTTCCCCCAGCCCTCTGAGTTACTGGGTCTGAAGAGATACATACCTCCGTCAGGCACAGCCCTTCTGCCCACACAGTTACGGATCTTGGATCTATAGATCTGAAGCAGTTTCCAGCATCACTTAATCTGTTCCTCATTAAATTCTTTGGCATTTACTATTAGCTTTTCTTTCTCTGCATGGAAATAAACCAGAACACAGAAAATATGCTAAATATGCCCAAGGCACTAAAGAAGCCTTGTGCAACCTGTTCTAGAGAAATACAAAGTCAGAAACATGTTGTTGTTGCACTCTCACTTACAGAAGTGGGAAATGGGAACATTTGCTTTTCTTGAAGGATTCCACCACCCCAAAAATTCCCAACACACCTTTTACATGATACAGTAGCAGCATCTTTGGTGGCCATGGATGGCTACTTCACTTATAAAGTCCTCAGTCCTGGGGTGCCACTGCATAACACCAACAGCCAGGGGAAACGGCAGCCCATTGGCAAGACATTCACACCTGCAGCAGTCCAGAACAAATGTCAGGGGGGGGGGGGGGGGCCTGAGGAGCAATGGGCACACATCAGGTCCTGTGTTGGAGAGGACAGGGCCTCCATGTAGCCCAGTTTGGCCAGGGCAACGCTGGCCAGGCTCTGTCCCAGCATCCAAACGTTTTTGTGGCATTATCTGCCCTGGGTTTGGGCAGGATGGGATTTTCCCATCCCTCAGAAACCGTGGCCCTGGGAGCCAGCCCCCTCCTAATGCCCCAGCCAGGGAGATGGACCTCAGCCCATGTGCTGTCACCCTGCCACAAGCAGTGCGTGAGGCACGGCCAGGAGTGTGCCTCTTGCTTTTCTTCAGGTGACCACCTGAGGGCAGGCTGAGGCCTCGTCCAGCCTTCAGTTTTCTAAAAATAAGCAGGAAAATTGGATAAAAGGCAGCATGATTTCAGTAAAGATGAATCATGCCAAACTAGCCAGCTGCTTTGTTAAGCCTAACATAACTCTGGGCAAAAAAAGCATTGAGCTAGCCTCTTTCAAATACCACTTCCCAGCTTGCAGCCTAGACATTATAAAATCATTCTCAGCAAGTACTTCCCTGGGGTTATTTATATGACTGTGAATCAGGCAGCGACCAGAAGCCCCAGGATCTGCGACCTCTATCATAACAACGGAGCCTTGCATTGCCCGCCCTGCCAGGCCTGCGGTCCCCGCACGCTGCAAGGCAGCACACAGCCACCTTGGGCAGCAAAGCTATCACAGGGCACCAGACCCACCCAGAATTCAGGTGGCTCATTCATGCATGAAATTACAGCCAACCTTTGACTTCAGGCCCAGTTCAGAAAGCACGGAACTTCTCGCTACAGTGAGTGGATCTAAGTTTAGCAACTAACTGACTGTTTACCACTTCTGTATTGCAAACCCCAGTTCTCACGTGTCCCGTTAATATTTAAACTGCTGAGCACACCACTCTTTACACATACTTTTGCAGTTTTAAGAATATGCCAGTTGGAGGACAAGCGTGCTATGCTTCAGAAAGCCATGATGAGACTGTTTTCCTGGAAAAGCTGAGGTTCCCATTGAGACCAGTGGTGGGAGGAAGTATTTGCCGTCTACAGAGGAACACCAAGAGATGTGGAGTTGGTTAAGGCAACGCACACAAGCTAAGATGGAACCAGCAACCGCACCCCGGTCTCCCAGTTGCTAGCAGTACTCTCAGAACATGGTCATCCTGTCTCCATGACCACCATGATCCCAGTATGGGTCTTCCACAGCTGTTTTGTGTCCCCTCCCAATACGCCCCAGAGCTGGAGGCAGGGGCCTGGAGCAACCAACCCTGTGACACTTTGGCATATGTCAGCCCGACCGGCTGGGATGGGACAGCCACCCTGTTATTGCCACTCTGCATGCAGAGAGCACAGCGGGGATTTAGGCAGCCTAAGCAGACAGCTACAAGGAGCCAAAAATGGCAGGTGATGATCAGCGTAGTCCAGAGACTTGCTGTCCATTCTCCCCTCGTTGCTGCTGTGGAAGAAGGCAGCTGCAGCCACTTCAGGCACCTCAGAGGGGACCAGGTCCACCAAGGAGCTCAGCTGTTGACAATGACACGGTCCCATTGCTTCCATGGGGAAATGCAGCTTTACATCAGATGAAGATGTAGCTTGCTGCCACATCAGTGATTTTCTCACTAATGACTTCTTCCTCCCATTTGTGCCAAGCCCACATTTTTTTTCTCCCACCTGCCTTTGTGCTTACTTGCCCTTCTTACAAAGTTAAGAAAAAGATGGGAGAAAAAAAAAAATCTTTTCCTCAAGTAAATCTCTCACTGACCTAAATGCAAATTTGTTCAAGGAAATTCAGAGAGCTTTGATCCTGTGTGAGTGAGAGGGGAAAGGAGAAGAGAGCAGACTCTGCTGCTATCGGAATGGATCTTTACTGCTGCGTAACCACTTGGCAGTGAAGCAAAAGCCACGGGAGTTTAAAGAGGAAGCTCAGCCAAAGGTCACCTGGCTGTCCTAGGTGCTTGTTATCAGAGCCTTGAAAAGAAGGAAGAACGAGCTCATTATAGCAACAACTGGAAAAGGCTGAAAAGACTGGGAGAGCCCGTCACCCCTCCTCAGCACACAGCATGCAGGGGTGCTTTGCTGTTGGAAAGCAAAGGGTCAGCAGAGCCCAGGCTCTGGAGCTGCTTAGGCCACTAAGAGAAAATTTGTCTGTCTCAGATCCAAAGCATCCGCTAGGCAGAGAGCCAGAAAGCGCCCTGTTAATTGCAATACCATATTTTATTTGCTGCCTTCTCTATGCAGGTGTTTTGTACTACTTCCACTGCTCATCCATATGGCTGAAGTGGAGAGGAGAAGGGTAACAAGGGGACAGAGACATACAGACACCAGGACATATCCTGGAGCACTGGAGGAATACACTGCTATTCCCTGTGTGAAGCTGTACAGTTCTTCAGCCATCCAAGAGAGGTGGAGGGAAGGGAGCTCACACACACCTACGGTTTCCAGAACTGGTCCAAAGGAGGAGAAAGATTCAGGAGCAAGAAATCCTGGCAAGCTGGATCCAGCCAGAATCCCATCAGCAGCTCTCTGGGCACTTATGTTGGTTCTAATGTCTTAAGCCACTCTAAGATCTTCAAATCTGTTACATGAATGTAGATCAAAACCACCTTTAAAGTATTTCCCAGTAAGAGGTGGCCCCAGCTCTGCTAATCTTGCTGACCAAGGGCAGGTGGCTACTTTCAGTCCCTGAAATTTGTCTCCTATTACCTGCAGGGGTGAGCGGAGTTCAGACTTCACTGAACTCATGATTGCATCAACCCAGAACTAAAGTGCACGGAGACTGGTGCTAGGAAAATGCTAGCTGAGTTCACAGGAGTGAAGCTGAGACCTCTGGAACATGGAGTTCCCCATTTGTGGGGCACGTGCCCAGCGTCCGCAGCCAGCAGAGACATTGCCGCACAGACCCTGGCACTGGGGCAGGCCTGGCTGGAGCAGGAGATGCTGCACAGTCCAGCACCACCCACCTAATAAACCAGAAAGGTGTTAGCAGCCTGAAGGTTGCTAGAGGAGCCTGCTTCCTGTTCTTCATATCTCTCCATTAGGCTGCTTTCCAATAACATTGGTCACTGGGCCTATAATCTTGTCAGAAATCTTTCCACACAAAGTATTACATGGGAAAAGCCAAAAGGATCCACACTTGGCCACGCCGAGAGCAGAGCGGGCAGGAGGATGTCGACCTTTCTAGAGAAACTCCTGTTGCCAGCGCTGTTTGGCCAGCACAGGCAAGCACATGACCATCTGGTCCTTCTTCTAATGCTCTACGCTCCCAGTGGCCTTGCATCTCCTGAAGACCCAGGGTGGCCATCTGCTCTCCTTTCCACACCGTTCCTGCATTGCTGCAGAGAGGAGTGGGGGATCAACGTGACCAGGGCAGACCACAGAAGAAAACCAAGTATCTGTTGCATTTGCTGATTTGCTGCCTTTACATCCTCAAGGGAAAGATGCATCTGTTTGCAAAAAGTCAGCACAGCCCTGCTTCCAACCAGCATTAACTCTGTGGCATCCACCTAACCATTTCCCCTCCAGCTGCTTTCCCCTCTCTGAACAGCTTGTACAGTTACTAAAGCCAGACCCTTCTGCATTGAATTTAACTGCGTGAGAGGACACACTCCTCTGTATTTCCAAGCCAGTTCAAGGCAGACAGAAGCAGAGAGGTGGGGCAGCCCATCGCCCGCCACCCAAACCAGTTGCTTCTTTGCACAGATCATTTCCCCTTCCACCATCTCATGCTCAGAGAGAGAAAAGAGGTGCCTGGCTGCTTTTTTGTGCCATGCCAACAGGAGCTCAGCCTTTGCTGGACCTCCTGGCACTACCATGACATTGCCACATGTTTGTGCTGGGATGTCTGTCTTGCTAAGACCATTAAAGGGCAAGTGAGAACATTAAAGCCACAGTGTTTTTCACTGTCCAAACAGGACAGGACAACTGTAAAAGGTTTATTGTTCAAACAGTTTATTATCAACTCTGTGTGGCTCCATTTATTGCTAACTCTGTTAGACTCTATTTCTTACTAACTCTGAGACCTTATTTATTCCCAATGCTGTTGGGCTCTATTCACTCTGTAGTGACTTCCTCCTCTCTCTCTACCGTGTGCCACGCTAGGTCCAGCCCCATCACCTGCAGCTGCAGCGTTGGTGGTGCAGGCGCAGGTGGGGCAACGTGGGGCTGTTGGGCTTTGGCCATGGGCTAGCATTGGCACATGGAAAATGGGAAAGCCCAGCCCTGGTGCCAAAGGTGGCAGCCGTGGTGCAAGAGGTGCAGCCTGGTGTGGTGCTGGAGCAGCACGCTGGAGGCCAGCTGGGGCCTGGCTTCTGGGTGGTGGTGGTGCCTAGGATGGGGGGTGGCCCAGAAGCTCTCCCTGCCTGCTGCTCCAGCAGGGTCAATAAGTAGGGGGCAGCTGCCTGGGAAGGGGTTTGGGCACTGTCAAGGCTGGGAGGTGCTTTAGCCCAGCGCTTTGTCGGTGGGGCCTTCCGAGGGGGAGATACCAGTATGTCCTGCAGTGGAGTTGGTGCAAACGCCTCCTGCACCCCAGCAGTGGCTCCCCGCACAGGCTGAAGACCTTGGTGGCTTTCCTCCAGCTCTGCATCCAGGCATGGTGCAGCCGAGGCTCTGCTTTTGCATCCCACTCTTGGCTTGCACCTTGCCAGCAGCTGGAGATGGTCCCTCTTAAAGTTGGGGCTATAATAGAAACATAAGAAGCTAAACAATGCAAAGAAGAGTTCAAGCAGTTTAAGCCTGGAAACCACAAATATATGAGAACTAAGACTTTTAATTGCAAAAGCCAAACTTAGGTATCGAAAAGGACTCTCAGGGGCATTGGAAACCTCAACCTTGGGCTGTCTCAAACATTACAATATGGTTCTGTCAAGTCATAACCAGCCCTGGGTTTTCACCTGAGAAATGCCCCGAGAAAGAAATGAAGGTGAGGAGATTTATGGCCATCTCCATCTCCTCTGTTGCCAAGGCTTATTCGGTTTGAACATCAGTGTCTCCCACCAGCTCCTGTGCATAGGAATTGATGTACCTTTCTAGGAGAAGGAGCAGCTGCTGCTCCTGCTGGAAATTCATCCCTGGAGTTAGACAAATCAGATGCCTCTCGCAGTTCATGCAGCCTATGGAGGATGAGCTGACGATGAAAACTTCCCATGCGCTCCATTTCAAAAACTCTCCCAAGTCCTCCTCTTGCCAGCATTTCCCTCTTGAACATTTCCTCATTGATGGCAACGATGACTCCATTATCAACCCATAGAATGGACTGAAACTTGTTGCTGCAGGCAATTTTCCAGAGCTGCTTTAGAAAGGAGAAGTCTTCGGTTTTGCCAGCATTCTCGGATGAAGCCGGAGTGTCCCTTGCAGTAGTGCTGTCATCACTCCAAGCTTGGAAAGACCCTTCTTCCATTATTGCTCCTACAGCAGCTTGATCATCCCACCCTGGAGAGGCAGGAGAAGCTAAGCCTGACGACTCCCCCAGCTCATCCAAAGAAGAGGAGGAGATTGCAGCTGTTGACAACTCCCTTTGAGACCATCCAGTCTCATTTGGGCTCGAGCTTTCTTCAGTAACCATCGCTCTGGCTAGCCAGGCTTGGTCCTGCCAGACACCAAAGGCCAACTGCAGGTTCCCATGGGACATTCTTAAACATCACCGTGGTGCCTGTGCCACATGGCGGTGACATTGCCTGTGCCCTGGCAGAGGAGAGCAGCCAGAGGAGACATTGCTGAAGAGCACTTGTTGCTTTTCACTCCCAGAGCCACCGGTGGTGGGACTCCAGAGCCCACAAGTCAGTAAAGCTGTGTTGAATGGCTGCAGGCAATGAGAAGACTGCTGTGTCTGGTTGCATCCCTGAGTGGGTCTTCAGGGAGGAGCGGGGATGGCTGCAGTGTTGGGCATCCCAGTGCCCCTTTTTTGGGAAGTTTTCCAGCTGGGCACCTCTGATACCTGCAGAAATGTCCTTACAGTCTTTGCTGTGCTGGTGGCTCTTGAGCTCCTGCTTCACAGCCTTTGGCAGAGAGTGGGGAGCAGCAGGGCTGGGGCTGCAGCCAGCGCCCTGCGTGCTGGGTGTGTGGGGTCCCTCCTCATCCAGACGTTGCTTCACTTGCCCCATGTGTTACCCTGACTAGGTCCCTCCTGGCCCCCTTTATTTCCCTCTGCATTGTCCAGCGGTATGGCGAAATCCATTTCCCCAGCTGAATGAATGCAAGAAAATAGAAATCTCTGCCCATTTCTTCTCTAGACAGGGAAGGGCTCTCTGATTTGAAGAGCACTGCTTCTGCAAGGGAACAGGCATGCGCCCAGGCAATGCTTCCCTCCCAGATTTACACAGTCTCCCAGGGGCTGCTCTGTAGGATCATCTGGAAGTAAAGCACTACGAAGGCTGTGCAAAGGAAATGGAAGAAATGGGAGGTGTGCAACCCCCCCTTTCCTTGGCTTGGTTCCTCTGCTTCTCTTTGCTCTTTCAAATATAGGAATGAAAGCAACAGAATCAACCCTGCTCTGTAAAGCTTTTGAATCAACCCCCTCTGTACAGGATAAAGAGCTTTTTCTGTGAGGGAGAGGTCTGATCTCGAGAGCCCAGAAGTCAGTAAAGCTTGTTGAATGGCTGTAGGCAGTGAGAGGACCCTACTGTGTCCATTTCCACCCAGGAGTGAGTGTGTCTGCAGGGAGGAGCAGGGATGGGTGCAGCACTGGACACCCAGTGCCCCCATTTCTGAAGTATTTGTGATTCATTGGAGAAACATCTTACAAACTTTGGCTGCACATTCTTTAAAAACCAAGCAAACTACTCCCATGTCTGAACTACAGGACCACACAGCAGTAATTTCTAGTCTCCCCAGGCACTGCCAGTATTTTTTGCTCTAAGAGAAGTCTAATGGGCTTGTGAAAGATCATAGAATCGTTTAGATTGGAAAAGACCTTTAAGGTCATCAAGTCCAACCATTAACCCAGCACTGCCATCCCACCACTAAACCATGTCCCTAAGCACCTCATCTACCCTTCTTTTAAATACCTCCAGGGATGGGGACTCAACCACCTCCCTGGGCAGCCCATTCCAGAGCCTGACAACCCTTTCTGTGAAGAAATTTTTCCTAATGTCTAACCTAAACCTGCCCTGGCACAACTTCAGACCATTTTCCCTCGTCATATTGTCCATTACCAGGGAGAAGAGGCCAACACCCACCTCACTACAGCCTCCTGTCAGGTAGTTGTAGAGGGTGATAAGGTCTCCCCTCAGCCTCCTCTTCTCCAGGTTGAACAACCCCAGTTCCCTCAGCCACTTCTCGTAAGACTTGTGCTCTAGACTCCTCCCCAGCTTTGTGGCTCTCCTCTGGACATGTTCCAGCAATGCAACATCTTTCTTGTAGTGAGGGGCCCAAAACTGAACACAGTATTTCGGGTGTAGCCTCACCAGCACTGAGTACAGGGGCATGATCACTTCCCTACTCCTGCTGGCCACACTATTCCTTATACAAGCCACGATGCCATTGGCCTTTTCAGCCACCTGGGCACACTGCTGGCTCACATTCAGCCGGCTGTCAACCAGTACTCCCAGGTCTTTCTGCCATGCAGCTTTCCAGCTGCTCTTCCCCACACTTGTAGCGCTGCATGGGGTTGTTGTGACCCAAGTGCAGGACCCAGCACTTGGCCTTGTTGAACCTCATACAGTTGGTCTCAGCCCATCGATCCAGCCTGTCCAGGTCCCTCTGCAGAGCCCTCCTCCCCTCAAGCAGATCAATACTACCACCCAGTTTGGTGTCATCTGCAAACTTACTGAGGGTGCACTCAGTCCCCTTGTCCAGGTCATTGATAAAGACATTAAACAGATCTTTCTTCCTTCTGAGCTGCATGGCCACTTTCAGAGGAGCCAGCACACCAGGACAGTCAAGCTGTCCCTGATATGGGTTGTCATAAACTTTGTCACAGCCACCAGGCACCCTCATGCTCCAGGCATGTGCTGCTGTGACGTGCTCTGACCTTTCAGTGCATTCCCTCCCCGGCTATGACTGCATTGTGCCCTTCATCCTTTGGCTTCTCTAGCCCTGGAGAAGTTTAACTGGGAGGAAGATGTTTTACCTCTTGTTTCTTATCTTTCACGAGGAAGGGAAGGCATTGCATGAAGAAATGTGCCCTGAAATACCCTCTGGATTTGAAGAGCTGGCAACAGTTTTTCCTGAGACAGCTTTACATGTTCAACATAGGCTATACTGACCCAATGCACCAGGCACAACCAGAATACTGATAAAGCTCCATCAGGCCAGCATTTAAAGGTCTGTAAACAAGAACTCCTCATATGCCCTGAGATTTTTTCCTGCAGCTGGAAAAGCTCCCTGGTAGCAAACTAACCTTTCAAAAGGGGCTATGAATACTTCCGCCAAGCAAGAGCAGTGGGTTTCCCCCTTGTTGAAACACATTTTGCATGGTATAAACCCTCTTCATGCCAGCAGGACTAGTGGAAAGGACCCGACAGTATCTGACCTCCTGCTTCTCTCGCAGCCCCATGTGAGGCAGGTTGGCTGCAGCATTTTAAGAGTTCTGTAACAGGAAGGGACTATTTCTAAGGTGACATAGACCCAGCAGGCAGCTAAGAGCCCAGAACAACCCCTGAGCTCAGGCATTAGCAGTCCCAGGTTACTGCTCTCTAACAGTCTGTTCTAACCGTTGCCTAAGTTTGGAAACAGTGCTAAAAGCAGGCTTGCTACTATCATGCCAATGAACAAAGAGCTTGTTGACAGAGGGAGATTCACCAGCAGCAGGACAAGGGAGCAGCACAAACATTACTGTGCAGTATTTCCTGGATAGAATGGTTTATATCTAAGCAAGAGTCCTTCAAAATGCTGTAATAGAGCTTTAATACTGCATTAAGTGCTGGGAAATGGAAGGAGCAGAGGGTATTTCACTATCTAGCTTCAGAGTTTTGCAAATGGATGCAAATCCTCCACCAAAAACACAGACTCAACTAACAAGCCAGTTCCTAATGCATTCTGACCCTTGAAAAGTGTCTCATTATGGACTGAATACAGCTTTTGGCTTCCACTTTATCTCTGGAAAATTCTCAGCAATTTAGGCTTGCTCTGAGGGTGAAGTTCACCAAGTGTTCACACAAGCCAAGGAACAGCAAGCAACGTGCACTTGCTGGCAGCAGGGCAAACCCTTCCGGGTGGACAGCCAGGACCCAGTGACTGCAGCAACCTCTCCCATCTCTATCTTCAGGAAGTGACTCATTCCATTTTCTCCTGTGAAAGCAGAAAGGGGAAGAAAGGAGCTGATTGTCACAGGAAGACTGACAAGTCAAAAAAAAAAAAAAAAAAGGCACTACAGCTGCAGTGAGTTTGAGATGTGCTGCTCTGAGTCATCCTGAGGTATAGGAGAAGCCACTGTCCCCTGCAGCACCTCAGACCTTCTCAGAAGAATTTACTTCCCACAAGTCACCCAGCCCTGCGCTTCTTGGTCAGGTTTACTCCCTCTTGGAGAGCAGACACATTCCTCTGCCTTTCAGCTCAATGCCAGATGCACAACACGCCTGATTGATAGATAAACCAAGCCCTATCAAGACTAAGAGCATTCTTGTCTATCACTGTACCTTGACCCACTGTATGAGATCTTTTTTATCAACTCCTAGAGATGTGGGAAGCAGCTGGAACCCAAGATCCATGAGAGGAAGGGATAGTGTTTCAGGCGTCTCAAAAATAGAAAGATCAGAAAGGTTAGGCTCAAACCTAGTGAGGCAGACAAAGCCCATAACCCTTGCCAGGAGGATGAGCAATGCAAACAGTTGGTGCCTGTATCTGAAGGAGAGATTTTTTTTTTCCCCCAGTCACAGCAGAGGAATGTGTTTTAAGTAGCTGGCTTTTGGCCTTCCGTTTTGTTTACTCTTCCAAAGACAAAACCAAAAGTGACGCCATACCCCACTTTGTTGAAGCACAGAAGGAAGCATCTGGGAAGAGGAAGCAGAACATGACAAAGTCCAGACCAGCCTAAAGAGAGACACGCACAAACCCTCCTGCTCATGAGTATGTGAATATTTATCTACACAGCCTGCTCCCACAGCCAAATGGAAAATACCTGCTGGGCTTTGGGATGCTCCAAGCAGCCAGGAGGAGAACAGGGGGAATATCACACCCAATTGCTCCTCAGGGGTTGCTTGGTTTCTTGAATAACCACTGCTGCACAGAAGAACCAGACCCTCAGCTGATGTGAGCAGGCTCCACAGCCTCCACCACAGCTGCATTTATACTTACACCAGTTCAAGAGCCACATGGCTACCACCCCGTTTTCAAGCTTGTGGTAACTTTTATCCTGTGCAAGTAGAAGCAGAAGAACAGAATGAGGAAGTGATCCACTGAAACTTGTCCTGTGTGAGGAACTTCCCTGGAGAACCAGCGCGAGAAAGGCGCTGCCTGCTCAGAGAAGTGCCACACTAAACCAGGTGCTGGAGAATGGCCAAGCACTGGTTCAAGCTGAGTGCTTTGTTCACAGACAACAGTACCTCTGCCAAGTGTGGGCAGTGCCTGAACACTTATAATTAGAGCTGAGGTGTCAGGGCAGTTGTTTCCAACTCCTGTTATTTTTATCATGTGTCTTTCAGTATATTCACCTGAAGAGAGCCAGTGTCCTAGGAGAACTTCATGCTAACGCATCCAGTGTTTTGTTTTCCTAATTAAGCAGAATGGACCTCATCACAAACCTAGGTGCACCACAAAGGCTTGTAACTAGAAGG